GCATTCCTGAGATGCCTTCCTCCTGGCACTGCTGCTAACAGCTTCAGGTTCACTGCTTGCCACCCCATTCCCCAGCTTTCCTCTTGCTGCGCCCTTGCATGCTGCCTGGGGTAGCAGAAGAGCAAAGCAAATGGTCATCTTTGCTTTCAAGAACACCAGCTTTGCACCATCACTGAGGATGTCACTGTGGAATCATGGCCAGGTAAAAAAATCTGTTTGTGTCTGTAGCTTTTTGAACCTTTTGAGCAGAGCCTGTTGCAACAGGACAAGGCATGATGGTTTCAAATTAAAAGAGTGGAGATTCAGACTAGAGAGAAGGGAGAAATTTTTGATGCTGAGGGTGGTGAGCCGCTGGCCCAGGTTGCCCAGAGAGGTGGTCGCTGCCCCATCCCTGGAGCCATTCCAGGTGAGGTTGGCCGGGGCTCTGAGCAACCTGCTCTAGGTGCAGATGTCCCTGCTCCCTGCAGGGGGGTTGGACTAGATGACCTTTAAAGGTCCCTTCCCACCCAAACCAGTCTGTGAGTCTATGATTCTTTATTTTTGAATCTGAGTATTGCTGAGTATGGGTTGGGTAGGCCCAGCCTCCTCTGTGCTTACACCACCCCCTTGAGTTTGGTGACTGGTGTTTTATGCCATTGTGATTGTCAGGAGGATCTAGCCTGTTGTGCTTTGGGGTTATGCAATCTTGTTAGTAATTTTCTGCTTCTGTCTTGCTGCAAATTATCAAATTAAAAGTCTGGAATAACGAAGTTGATAGATTTGGGAAAATTAAAAATACCCTTACAATTTGGCATATGTCAGATTAAGTGCAAAGTACTGTATATGCTATTAAAAATAGAGGTTGTTTCTTCGAGTTATTTCGAGAATATTCTCGATGGCTTGCATCAGATTTGCCCTTTATTTGACATCTTACTTTTTTTTTCCCCCCTGAAAAATAGCATAAAATAGAGTAACAGGGATTACGGATACTCTGTACCTCAATAATAATTATTGGCAATATAGTTTGCAACAATGTGGTACTTGGCTCATCAACTCAAGAGAAGAACCTAGAGGAGTTGACTGTGAATCTACGTGGGCCATCTCAAAGGCAGATTAGAGAGCCAGTTTAGATTGGATTAGATTTCCAATGCATAACATTTGAAGCTAAATCAAACTACTGAATTAATGAGTGTCTCATTTAGTGTGTGCCTACCTTAATGTTATTAATGTCCCCAAACCAGGACACCCCGTGGTATATTCTGGGCTTGAAGGACACTGTGCTGTTAGTCCCTTTCTTATGTACACTAAGGTTGGCCATGAAGACCCTCACTTCAAAGATGTATAACCAAAGGGGACCCACCAGCACAAGGCAAATTTCAGTAGTCTTGGAGTAACAACACCTCTGAAATGTGGGGAAAAAAACCAACTCCAATAATTAAGGCAAATGTCTCTGCTGTGGGTGCTTTAAGCATTAAAGCACCAGAGTTTTTGGGGCACAAGTACAGGACTAGACTTTCCCAAGTGTGGTGTGGTGCTGAGCCTAGCCCTGCTTGGCTCAGCTTCTCTTAAATTCCCTAGCCAAGGAGAAGTTCGTACCTTCAGCTCACCTAAGTGTTTGTTTTATACGCATTGAAAAGGCTGCAGAGATTATTTTGGCAACAAAACTGGCTGTTTTTTCTAAACAAAAAATCATTATCTTCTGAATCTTGCTAATTTCTGGAGCCAAGACACAACAACCTAGAAAACAAAGTAAGTGGCTTGCCCCTGCCTCCTTTAGCTCCAGACTCTGCTCCCAGCCACAGAAAGGTGGCTTGTGATCCTTATCAGAGTCCAGCCGCCATCCTGCTCGGGTGATATGCACTGAAATGAAAAAAACTTGGGTTTATTTATTAAAAGTTACATATTGTTTAACTAATTTTAAGCTATTTAGTGTCTGAGGGCAAAAGGTCCTTCAACATGAACTTTGTGATACATGCTAAAGGATGTCCCTGGATCCAGAGATCACAGCCTCTTTCTGGTTGGAAGATACCTTCAAGATCAAGTCCCCCCTGATTCTGTTTGCTGCTTGCACAAACCATTGAAAAATCTTTGCTACACTGGAATCTGACAGTGCATTTGCTAATTCCTCTCCTCTCCTCTTTTTTTTTTTTTTTTTTTCCTTCTCCTTTTAGACTGGGACCAGGGAAGCCTTGAAGTATGCCCCAGATTTATTCTTCATATTAAATTGATGGCTAGTCCCCAGGATTGTTTCCATTCTGTCCTCATCTGAGTTGTTCACACACATGGTGCACCAAAAGCACAGCCATGCATCACCTCTTTGGGCTGGTTTTGTCACAAAAGGACCTTTCACGTGCAGGGGATCTTTTCTCCTTAGAGGATGCTGAGATTGAAGGAAGCCTCTCAGAAGCTCTTGAACAAATAAGAATAATTAGTTCATCTGCAGTAAGTGAAACACTGTCCTTAATATGTTTTCATGAGATGAAATGTATTCTATAAATATTAAAGCCAGGGACATACACGATTTAAATTTCCAAAAACCTTAAATATGATGAGCAAAGTGTAAGATTTAAAAATGTGGTAACCAAATCCAGTTTCCTTTAAAAATATTTCAAGTTCATCTTTATCATCATTTTATTAAATAGTTATTTAAGACATTAAAAATTAACAGGAGGTTACAGGTACCCTGTATGGATAGTGTGTATTCTGCTTGCAGCAGAAAGTGTTCTGAATGATGAATTTTGGTAAGCTCTAAAAGTTCTGTCCAAAAACATAAAAAAAGATCTTTATCCTTCCTGCTTCCAGTCTGTTGAAGAGAAAGGCAAATCTTTTTTCAGCCTTAGGATGTTCAAATAGCACCATGTACATGTTTCACAACTGCACTTCTCCGACATTTCATGCAGTGTGTGATTTTTAGAAACCAGTGTTGGCAACATGTAAACCTCTGACTCTCAGGGTGTGATCCCAGCACTGCTGGCTGCAAGAAGAACAGACGCAGCCACTCTACATTGGCTCTTCTCTTGGTCACTCCTCTGACAGCAGTTACATCTGCACAGTCTTTCAGAACATTAATTGAATTATTTTGGCCATTGCATCTGCTGTTTGTGATACACTTTGACTCACCACACTGCATATTATCAGGAATTTCACACAAATTCCTCCTAATGTACTTTTTGAGAGGAAACGCCTGAATTTGCTACAAAATGTTGGTGCAAGCCCCGAGTCTGCATGAAGCCATCCCCACCTCCGAGCTGCTCGGCGGGTTCCCAGCAGAGGGCTCTGGAGCCCGCGACCTGCTCCAGCACTGCCTGGTCCTGCCATCTGAGCAGGCTGGGTTTGCCCCGTGGGTTTTGCCCAAATGTGAAGAGTTTTGCAGCAGGGCAATCAGCACCCCTTTGCTCTCCACGTCCATGCACAGCCAGTGGCCATGGCTCACACTGGTGGTTTGTTCTCGTGCTGTACCAGTCAGTGGCTCTTAACTTGTTCACCTCTTTATCAATAGCTTACCTTAACAAAAAAGCAAAGTATTAGAGCTTGGGTTTTTTTTTGTTTGTTTTTTTTTTTTTCATTAAGTGCATGGATTTTCCCAAGCTTGTAGAGTGCTGGTTGTGAATAAAGGCAGAGAACTGTTCTGAGATAGGCCCAAGTGTCGTGGCTGCTGCCTGTGATACTCTGTCATACCATGCTGCAACACAGCAGGGCCCCCAGAGCTAACTCTGGAGCTCCACTTCTGCAAGCTAGTGCTGAACTTGGCTCCTGCCCTTTAAAAATATCCCTACTTCCACAAAACCAATGAGTTTTGGTTAATATTTCAGCCCATCGTTCATCTTCATTACTTTCTAAGGTGGGACAGCCTAAAAAAAGCTTTTAGGGTTGGTGGTTGTGAGTTCTGAGTCTTTTAAGTCACAGCAAAGCTTTGCCATTACATATCCACATGGCACCTCTGCTGTGATTATGGGGGATTACAGGATTTTGTGATAAAGCCTATTTAATTAACTTAAACATTGCTACTAATTGAAACTGGCTGTTTACATCAGGGACTTGACACAATGTGAAATACCAGGGAGCCTGCGTTTGGCTGTGTGTATTGTGGATATAAAAATTCCAGCTTCAGTTTTAGGATGGTTATCCTAAAAGAATAAAGATTTTATCCTAATTTCTTTTATCCGAGAAGAAGAGGCCTGAGGCAGTGGTTCTAAGGTGTGTGGCTGCAACCCCTGGCCAAGAAGGCCATGCTTCAGGACAGGCTACTAAAACATCTGATAACATAATCCATACCTTGACTGTAATGAGAGTTAAGACCTAAACCAGTGAATTGTCTGTGGATGACTAGCTTCATAGAATAGTTTGGGTTGGAAGGGACCTTAAAGATCATTTAGTTCCAACCCAATTCCTGCATTCAATCATGTTAAACATTCGTTGTAAAGATGGAAGTGAGAAAACAGGCACTGGACAGTTACCAGAACTTCATGTCTTCAGGTTACTTTTGTAGGGCCCTTGAAAAGGATGGGCATTCATTGGCAAACGTCTTTTCGTTTGAACCAGGACTACCAGACCAATGATAACGACCAGGCTGTGGTGGAAATCTGCATCACTCGCATCACCACGGCCATCAGGGAGACGGCGTCCATCGAAAAGCACGGGCAAGCCCTCGTGGCTCTCTGGGAGTCGTGCCTAGAGCACAACCTGAAGCCATCTGGAAAAGATGAGGACACGCCACACGCAAAAATTGCCTCCGACATCATGAGCTGTATCCTGCAGGTAAGACTGAGCTGAAAGCAAAGGAGGATAATGAATCTGTTGGCTCTTCCATTGTATCTTTTAAAATTGTACTTTGTTGTACTTTACATTTTATGAGGGTGCACAGCAGTCGTTGCCACTGTTTAAAACCAGGAATATGATCCCACATATTAATGTATATTATTACATATAAATGGCACCTATTGCAGTGAATCAAAAGTTTTGGAAGCTTCCTTATCTTTAGAAGTGTCTTGACTGTTTTGTGCCAGATTTCATTAATTCTAAGTATTTGCATTTCGTGTAAGTATTGAAGTGAGCGACACAGGGCTACAGTCTTCTCTGGTTCCTGAAAGATTGATTTGAAAGCAGTTACTATCAGGGAAGAGGTTACTCTTTCAAATAATTCTGAAAGGCAGTAAAATGCTAAAGACACTGCAATGATGTGAAATTTAAGTCATCAGATATGCTGTCAGTAAAGAAGATCTCCCTTAAAGTTTTGATTGTAAAAGCTGAGTCTAGATACAGCACCGAAAACCGACTTCTGAATTAAAGCCCGCTTGCAGCTACTCTAAAACAGAGGGTTAGAAACAAGTTATGCTTTGGCCAGTGTGTTCCAGAGCATTGTAATAATTTCTTTGAATGTTTTACTAAATGTTAGAGGCAGAAACAGTAGGATGCAAAAGGTATTTAGGTCCCCAAAACATTTGCTAGAAGAACAGCTGAAATTTAGTCTGATTTGAACTTAATAAAAAGAGGATAACAGACTGGAGAGACCCACAGAGAATCCTATGTGCAAGGTTTTCTAACTGGGAGCAGAAATCATGGTTGTTTCCAGAGTTTCAGCTGTGGGTACAATTCACTGGGACCAGCTCCATGGCTGATGGAGAAACAGTTGCTATGAAATGCCTTTCAGTACAGACTGCTCTGGGCTGACGTTTGCACTACGTGTGCTCTTTCAGAGTCTCTTTCTTTACCTCTTAAATCAGATATAGGGGAGTTTTATTGTTCTTTCATTATAAAAATTCAAATTATGGAGGCACAAGTTTGTCACTGACCCATGGAAGGCACTGCTTATCCCCTAGTAGGATATATTGTTCCGTAAACTTATTGCGATTCCTCAGCTAGTTTGGCTGGAAGTGTTTCAAGTCCAAAAGAAACAGTCTCAGAAAAAAATAACATCAGTGCTGAATTTGCTTCAATTAAATTTGGCTTTACAGTCCTTTAGAAGGGTCAGTGCTGTTTACTCCCAAGTCTGTCACTCTGAAGACACACAAAAGTGTATTACAGCAGCATACAGATGAGGGACTTTACCTTGTAAGATCATATTTTCTCTTTGCAGTGCTTTAGTATTCTTCTGAAATATGAGTTCTAAAGTATGCCATGGCTTGCATAAGATTTCAGTCTGTGCTGTTGGCAGCTGTGCCTAACTTGAGCTAGCTCCGATCCAAAGGGTTTGGGGATTGCACTATGTTGCAGATGTTTTCAGGAAAGGAATTAATTGAAATGAAATGAGAAAGTTATAAAAAATATGTTTACCGCTCCCTGAAACGGCTATTATCAGCAAAATCCTTTGCATAAAAATAAAATAAAAGAAAAGAAGGCATAAAATGAGTTTTTATGCAATACGTGAGGGGTAGTTGAAGTAGTAATGAATATTTGACAGCTGGGTTGAATCTCACAGTGTGTTCCTGTTGATATTAGCAGCAGGGAGGTCTCCTAGGTTTGCAAACATCACTATATCATGTTATTGAAATCTGTTTTTCATTGTCACCTTCACATTTTCATCAGTGTGCATTCATCACCTGATACTTATAATGGAACAAACAAAACTCTTCTTCCATCTGAATTGAAACCTTTTCTTAACTAAGTATTTTATCTTTATTGTAGGAAAAATAAAATTCATAGAATCATAGAATCATA